ACAAATTAAAATTATCTATGTCTCTCCTGTCATTTTTGTTTTGTCTGGGTTCCTTCAGTGGAAGATATTTTAAGGAGAGTAATGATCAGAACAGGATAAGAGGATAACTGGAGAAAAGGGTTTCAGCTAATTTTCCTTGGAAGAGCTTTCTCTGTCCTCTTCAGAGGAGCTCCGGTCCTCGCTGTCACCAAGGATGGCTACTGTTCTGTTCCAAAGAGCTCCAGTCTTTGCTTTTGCCTTTGCCTCTGCCTTGGGTGTCAACTCTTGGTTTTTCTGCTTAGATTCTTCAGCTTCCAGCACCAGCCTTTCCACATGCTGGCACAGACTCTTTAGCTTCAGATGCTAAGCCTCTGATCTCCTGGCACGGATCCCTCAGTCTTCCATCACAGATTCTTCAGCCTCCTGATGCAGACTCCTACAGGTTATTGCCATGGGCTCCAGGTCTTTGGCTGGATCCTTCAGATTTGTGGTACATAGACAGATCTTTTTCACTCTTCTACATATGACTCTGTGCGCAGCCACTGCACACCAATTGTAAATTTCTGTGTCCTGCATTAAATCTGATTCAGAGCACATGCAGTCTTGAGGAGCTTTGCCCTAGGCCTGAAAGCACTAATATGGGTGCCTAAGGTTGGAAATCTATATATTTAAAGAACTTTTATGGAATCCTGATTCATTATAAGGATTTAGAAACTCTACTCTGCTCTGCTCTGAGGTAAGACTGGCTGGTTTGAATTCCAGCCTTAACTCTTACTTTGGGATCTTGTTTCATGAACTTGATCTCATGAAGCTCTATATACTAAAGCTCTCTTAGATGTTTCCAAGTTATCCTTATAAGAAAAGAGGTGAATTCACTGTAATGAAAGTGTTTTGTTTATGAGAACCTTCAAACGGAAATGATTGGCAGTTACATGACAATAAGGTAAATGGAAGCAGGGACATCATTCAAATCCCTTTTATACTCCTCATCACTGTCATCACCATCATTATAATTATCGTTATCACCATCAGTAATATCATATCTAGCTACTGGGTGGCACTAATTACATACTAGTTTACAAGGCTTAATTTTCTGACTCTATAATCCTGTGAAATAATATTCTCATTCCCATTTTACAGATTAGGAAACAGGTTCCAGTAAATTAAATGATTTGCCCAGAAGATTAGTGCTGGCTCCAAAGTTCAAACCAAGAAATTTCAAATCTAGCACCTGATTTCTTACACCGTACATCATAGCCTCTTGCATAAATAAATATTGAGGGTTTTTTCCTATAACTTTTCACTTAAAATAACCATGAACATGAAAATATTCCTGATTTGTATACTTTAAGCCATGCTAACAAGTTCATTGCCAAGGTAAATGGATAAAAGAGAAAACTGTGGTAATCTAGTGTGATTTGTAGCAATTCCTGTGTGTGTGTGGGTGTGTGTGACTGATTCTTCCTCTGTTCTAACTTCTTCCCAACTCTAGTTCCTGTCCTGATTCTGATGCTCAAGTACTGTTCCTGTGTGTCTTGCTGCTTCTGCCTTTGCCCTTGACCTTTATACATGGTCTCCTAGATTTGAGTCAGTCATTCCTTTGTGTCCTCCTCCTAATGAAGCAACTGGACTTTGATCTTGTTGTAGCTGAGACCACTTAATTTAACCAAACTAAAGGATAAGCAGGCAAAACTCACTCAAAATGTTCACATTTTAATGTAAATAAAAACTTTTGAAAACCAGATGTGGTATTAAGAAAATATCTAAAAAAGCGTTTTGTTTAAATGAAGTTCATAATGATAAAGTAATAATGATGAAGTTGAAAACATTTGGGGATTAAATTTAATATACTAGGGCTGGGGATTTAGCTCAGCGGCATTAGCGCCTGCCTTGCAAGCAGGCAGTCGTGAGTTCAATTCCTGGTACTGATAAAAAACGAAAAAGACAAAAAAAAAAAAACTTAATATACTAGGTAATTCCCCTAGACTTGTATAAGGCCAGACCCTTTTCTTCAAGATGGGACAACCCGAAGGGCTTTCTTGATTCCAGAGCAGCCCGTGGGAACCATGGAAGGCTTTACCACACACTACAACACTCAATGCCTTCCTTCGCCAAATCCCAACTCTCAGTATCCCTCTCATCCAAATGTTCCCAAGTTATTTCTCAATAAACTTCACATTTCTTAATGAGTTTCTGTGATGATAAATGTTTAAATTTAAATGTATAAAGTAGCTATGAGTAAAAATCCCAAGGTTGCAACATACAGCTATTTTGATGCAGAAATGAGTTTTCTTTCTTTGAAGGCTTTAAAGACATCTGACTAAAAGTGGAGAATAATAGAACATTTAAATATATTTTGCTTTCTAAAAAAAACTCTGCAGGAAGAAATTATTAGAGAAGAATCTTTTGTAAGCCAAGAAAAGAGAAAATTCAGGAAGAACTGCCTGAGACTATTTATTAGATCTGAGTTAGGTCACATCAGGCAGTCTAGTACAGAAGTTACTTGGAAAAAAATCCCTAGAACCAGGGATGTGCAATTTTGGTATATAGGGTTATTGGAATACTAGTTTCTCCTGCCACTCTACAGAAATGTTGGACCTGGAAGAAAAATACTACATGCAAGATATATACATTGTTTTGATATACTTAATGCTACAGTATACGAAGTTGTACTCAAGGATTTCAAAGAAACAGACAATATGGTAACTACTTTTAGGTTAGGATTATCTGGTGGTGAAACACTATTCTGCTTAAATGGTTATGTTTTGATCTGCGCTGTTTTGTTGTTATGCCCTCTTTTATCTCAATCTCCACTCCATTATTTACTTTTTTATCTTTATCCTTTTAATTAAAGGAAAAAAATAGCAGGATATATTATAGTAACCCACTTTGACTTTTCATTACCTTGATTTAAAGCCCTGTATTACTCTCACCATCTGGTTTTTAACTGATGTTCCCCTATTCTGTTTTGCTGGATAGTATCAGGTTCGAAAGTTTAGGCATCAGCTGTGAAGATAATGAGATTCATTATGACGCCCATTCTTGTTGACTTTTATCTACTTTTGAAGACCTACAATGTCTCCAATGTTTTGGTTTTGTCTTATTCTTTACTGTTTTGTTCAATTGTATTATAACTAACGATATAGGCAATTCTATTAGAGATAGCGGGAGGCATTATGGTAACCATTGTTGATCACCTTGTATTATGTTTTTACATTATCTATTATGTCCACCCTTTTGACTTGACCGATTCTGTTCTGTTATGTCACATTTGGTTTTACTCTCTTCCAAAAAAGTAATAAGAACCGTGGGAACAATGAAACCCAAAATGTGTAATAGTCATGGTACAAAAGAGAGGAAAAGAAAGTGCTCCAAACTATATAACTGCATGTATATTTAAGTGTATAAGATAGAAAATGATATCACATAGTTTTATTGGATCAATGAACAGAACTGTTTGCAGTATCATTGATGGAATGTCCACTTTACAAGCTTTAATTTTGTGACTTGAACAATTATTTCTAAGATGACAATATGTAATCCATTAACTAGTGATTTCCTACTGTTCATTTTTTTTCTGTAAATCTGTATAACTTGTACCCTTTCCCTGCTTTTTTTTAATTCTTTTCTCCTTAAATAAAATTTAAAATATATATATATATATATATATATATATATATATATATATATTTGGAAAACTCAGTGAAATGTAAATCAAGTTGAAGGAGTTACAGAGTTTTACTAGTTTTCTCTTCCATGTTGCTATCACTCATTCATATCAGCCTCCTTCTTGGTATATGAGTACCTTGAGGAGCAGAAATTTGGAAGTTAATTTTGTTTCTGTGATGAATGCAGTGCCTGAGTCATATCAGCTACTCAATTATCATTTGTTAAAGAATGTATAGAAAGCATTCATCCCCCCCCCCATTTTCCCTGCAATATCCAATGGTATTAATTATTTTAAAAAAGTGAAACAACAAAATAGGTCAGTTGCCCCTTAATTTGGCACTGGGGACCAGTTTAATGATAAAACATTTTTTTTCCCCACAGACCAGGATGGGGGACGGTTTGGGAATGATATGAGAAAATTAAATTTATTGTGTATTCTAGTTCTATTATTATTACATTGAAATATGCAATGAAATAATTAGAGAACTCATCATAATGCCAAATCAGTGGGAGCCTTGAGCTTGTTTTCCTGCAACGAGATGATCCTGTCTGGGATGACGGGAGAGAGTAACACCTGAAGTGTGTTCTCCTATCCAGTGTCCTCCATAATCTCATTTTTGCTGTTGTCACTGCAGAAAATCCTTCACAAAGATAGGGTCTTGGAAGTGGAAGCAGGTTTTATAGTGCTTTTGTGGCAATTTTAGGCAATTTCACTTTAATAATAATCTAGAATATCTGGAGATGTGATGTTGCCTCACGTGTGCTTTCAAGGACATCATTTGCAATCTCAGAAACTTAACCTCTTTAAGCATGAACCAAGTCAGTTCACCTGATTTATTCACAAATGAATGGCATATTCATTTTTTCCCAGTTTGGAGGTGTTTTGTGGCTGGAAAGTAATGCTCCAACTCTTTTAAAAGTTGGGATATGAGAAAGAAAAGTCTGATTAAATCTCATTCAAAATTTTACTAATGATTAAACCATCTCTAAAATCCTAATTTTCCCTTGTCACCTTCATAATTCCACTTTGGCTTTGAATGCTGTCACTTTATTTGCCACCTTGAACACAGTCCTCCTCTGTAATGATAGATTGCCAATTTTGAGCAAGTCAAGGATACCACATGAGTAAACAAGTTTTGCAACCCATTCTGTGAATTGTGGTTCCAGGTGTGTGTGTGTGTGTGTGTTTTTTTTTTTTTTTAACAAATTTCTATAGCAGCTCTCTAACACAAAAATTGTAGCCAGTGATCTACATTTAGAAAACTATTTTGGTCCTGTGTATAAGGGAAGATATATATGCAGTGTATCTGCTGACAAAGCTGTGTGAACAGAAGAGAGTTAAGGGCACATGCTTTAATATAGTTCATAACTTTAATCACATTCTTTAAAATATTAAGGTCAGGTGACAATTTTGGACTACCTAAAATTTCTCCATGAATAACACAGTACATAGACACACATTCACAAGCAAATTCTTTGATTTGAGTACTGAAACTAGGTAGCCATGCATTCATCAAGGACACACAATGATCAATTTAGTTTTCCTGAAAGACTTGAATAGTTCTGCAGCTGTGGTGTTAGTTGCAATAAAATGTGCTCGTAACATATCCTTGTACATATCCTCCCGAAATTATATCTCATATAAACGAGCATTGTTGGCTTGTTGTCAGTGTACCTTGGTGACTCTAATCCTAACAATTGAGCCATAATAATTTCTGTTATTTCATCAATTATTCTAGTTATAGTGTTACCTCAAAAAATGCACCACATTTTAAAACTGTGTCCTCTCCTAAAACTTAACAAATGTCTTTTGAAGCTTGCAGGATCAACTTGTCAGCAATATTAAGTGGTTTCTTAGCTCTAACAGTGCAGTTACTCACTGTGTGTGATGCTCAGTGTAGACACATTTAATGAAGGGGTAGCCTACAATAACTGCTTCTGGTTTTTGTGTTCATATTTTCTTCTGAAAAATTTCAAAAGCATGTCTTTTAATGCAAGGTAGCTAGTCTCCATGTGGTGAAATAGTTGAGTTTTCAAAGCTTCATTTTATAGCTGGTTGCCACAGGGTACCTGAAATGGGATTGGGTAATGTGAATCATTTGTTATAACAAACCTGTAATTTAACTAAGACTCTTGGTATTGTCTTTTTTTTATTGGCAGTCTTATAGTCTTCTACTATCTCATCATTGAGTCTTTCCTTCTTCTGAAAGAAACTCTCTAATGACATTTGCTTTTTACTTGTTTTGGTTAGGGATAGTTTATGTTCTTACCAAAACAGTGACTACAATAAGGGTGCAGTTTAGGAAAGAGACACAGATGGATGAGGTAAATAAAATAGTGGGCAGACAGAGACTAAAATAAACATACAATTCTGGCTTAAGGCTGGACATGAGATGCAGTTGTACATCAACTCACCACTATAAATTCTGTCATCAAATGCAACTTCATTGTCACTTGTTGCCACTGAGAGGGCTTTAATATGAGCAATTGATTTATTATAGCCCTTTCTGCTAATGTTCATTTGTATTTGCAGTTACTTTCCTGTGCTAGTGTCGTCACCTCAGTTCCACCTCAGATCATCAGGCGTTAAGATTCTCAGAAGTAGCAAGCACACAACCTAAACGGCTTGTATGTGCAGTAGGGTTTGAGTTCCTATGAGAACCTAGTTCCACTCCTGCTGCTGATCTGACACGTCAGAGCTATACATAATCATCAGACTACATATTAACTTTACACATTTATCACACATGCTAAATTGCTCTCATTATAAAGATTATTTTCTTCAGATATTAACATTATTCATATAAGGCAAGTCTTTACATTTTGTCATTCATGGTACATGTTACCTAATTCCAACAAAGGAAAAAGAAAAATTTTAAATTTTAATTGATATTAGATATAAACAATTTTATATTTGTTGAATAAACTAGAACAAATTATTTTCAATAACTGAAATGTTTTATAAAGTCTATCTGCAAGTATTATGAAAATAAACAGTTAAAATTCCAAGACTATTGAAAAATAGCAAAATTCTTTAATGTGGAAACTCATAGACTCCCTTGAATTGATGCTACTGGTTTTTTCATTAGTGCTGTCAAAATTTCACGTTGGCCGTTTCAACTTTGCAACAACATCATTGAACTAAAATTATTAGTAATACACTAAATTAAACTCTTTGGTATTTTTTTAGGAAATGTAATCCCTATGTTCATGGAATGTATCATCTTGCAACAATGATAAGGCTTTTCAGAGACTACAGTTATCATTCATTTTCAATCTGTCTCTTATCTATCAATATTTTAGCTTTATTTCTGTTCAGTTTCATAGATCACAACTGGAAGAAGAAGAACAAACAAAGAACTAATGGTGGGATATAGTTGCAAAAGACATGGACAATAATGTAAATACAGCATACAATTTCAAAGTATTTAATTTCTCTATTCTTTTTACTAGTCTTTTTTTGGTCAGTTTTCAGCTTCCTCAAGGTAACCAATGTTTTAAAGCTATAAATGAAATGATTTTATAACTCACTTAAATTAACTTGACTTGTACCTGAAAGTATTTTTAAAAAGGACTTCAGGAAAAAAAATATACCTAAAATCCATTAAGTTAATGTTTCATATATTTGCTTCTAAAATATAGACTCCATAAAATCTTCAAATGGTCTTACTTACAAAATAATAAAAAAAGCAACTAAAAATTCCATTTGGATTATCTTTTTTATTGTCTGATAATCTTGATTTATGGCAGAAATAGGAAGCATTTTTCTATCATATGAGAAATGCTATAAGAATGTTGAGGAAAAAATAGTAGTCTGGGGTATTATCTATTAACGAGCATCCAAAAGTTATAACAGTTGAAACAATGTGATATGATGTAAAAAAGGGGACAGGACATGATCCAGTAGTAGGCATGATAATATGTAAGCCTCATGTAGGATAGCAGAAGCACTGCTTACATCAAGTGGGATATTTTTATTACCTTGAACCTTTGATGAAGTCTCAAATCTGCAAACCCAAGGAAAATTTAATTCATATATACTGATAGAGGGCATAACACATCCCCAGTACTATGCCAAAACATATTAATCCTTTCCCCTCTATACATCATTTTCTTTCAAGCTACTTGAAAAAACAGTAGGAATTCAATACAAGGTTTTTAGAGTAAAGCTTTCTTTGAAGAAAATTATGCACTTGATAGAGTATGGATTCTTTTCCACTCTAATAATGGGATCTTAACTGCTTTAACATGTCCCTAGGCTAGTGAAGAGAGCTCTGAAAGACACTTTCACAGAGTTTAGATGCTCTGGTAAAGAGTGAGGAATAAAGCAGAGCTGTAAAATCCTGGTAGGCCTTGCATACAGCTATTGAAACAGAACATGCGGAAAAATTTTTGGAAAAATTTAATCTGGGTCCTCTGGAATTTGGGGAGCAGAGATCACTGCTTGAGTCTGCCAGAGGCAAAAGAACCTGCCTAGAACTGCCTGTGAGAAAAAGTCCAAAGCAAATATGCAGATTTGGGTGCGTCTGACTTGCTGAGATTCTCTATGGTGCTGTGTAGGTCACTTAAGATATTACATATGTCTAAACTCTTGCTATTTTGAAAGGACTTCACAAAGAGCTCCTGCCTGTAACATTGACCCCAGTAGGAGGAATCCATGGGGGTGTACAGGAACGCAGGAGTTGAAGGGGAGTTACAGGAGATTAGCAGGACCATGCATCATTCTCATACTAGGCAGAGGTTCAAGGAGCCAGAGTGGAGGAGGACTCCAGATAACTCACTAAATCATTCCATCAGAGAACAAGGCAAGCCTTTGTATATCTGGTTGACGGCAGTTCTCAACATCAAGCCAAGTAAGGAACAATTTTTGCTTCTTTCATTTCATTTCTAGCTCCTTACTTTATATTTGGCAGGCCCAAACTGTGAGTAAATTTAGAGGTCAGAGTAAATAAAACCAATATCCAACTATACCTGAGAAAAAAGATGCTTTAAAATAAATGTGATGAATTTTTTTAGTTTAAATATGAATTTTTAGTACTTTAAACTAAGGCCTAGTACTAGTACCCCCATGGTAATTTTAAAATACATCTTCAAATTTGATATTTCTTTCATCAAGAGATAGAGCATATGCTTCCTTTGCTGGTGCCCAGCAAACCTTTGTGAATGCTTCCATGAATGAAATATGGCAGAAGTGACACACCTGACCTGCTTTTTTCTGGGTATCTGCTATGACAGGCTTCGGCTTACATGCTTCTGTGTTTGCCTATCCGGGAGAAACTGCAGGGAAACAGTACATGCAAATATCATTTGAAGGAATGAGACATAGAGAAAGGCAGAGACTCAAAAACGACAGGTTGCAATATATGAAAGGCAAGTGAGTTGACTGAAGTACTTATCTTGGACACAAAATCCTCTGGAATCAATACTTTCAAATCACATTTTAATGCAATATTTCTAAAAAAATGAAAACCAATATAAAAAATCCACAATGATTAAAACATGGATATCTTAAAGATATGAATAGCTCTAGTAGTTGTTCATTTTGTCACCTTAGTAAAGCCTGGCTAGGGCCTGGGCTACCTGGGAAGTATACAAGGAAACTTTAAATATCTTGTTTGGGTTGCTATCTACATGGGATATATAATTGCCAAAATATAGTGAACTGTACACTTCATATCTGTATATTGTATATAACTACATGTTCATATATTTTTAGAATGGGCCTATGATTCAGTACATCTTTAAAAAGCTGAAAATATCATGAGATGTTTCAGAGAGAATTTTACCTACTGTTTAAAGGGAGAGGTCTCTGACAATATTTTGCATAAATTTGAGATCTATGCCTTTTGGGGCTATTTAGTTACCAGCCTGAACATGAAGCAGGCCCAAGGAGACGGGTAGAACTGAAAGAATCAGTACTGGGGTCCTGGGCTCTTACTTCATTTTATGCCTGGCTAATTTTACTTACATAAGCCGACATCTTTTTTTATTTGATAAACCAGGACTACCTCTCAATCAGGTACTGTGCTAGCAGTGGTAAAGGCCAAGAAATAAGACATACAAAATTTCTGCTTTCCTCGAGCTTGCATCTGGTTGCAGGGAGGTAAATCCTGCAAAGATAATATAAAGCAATGTTAAGCAGTTATTGCTTTCATTTGAGAGCCAGGGCAGTCTTCTCCACAGAGGTAACATTTGATCATTGACCTGAATAAGGAGAATTCCAGCTATCTGAAAAAGTGAAATAAAATCTGTTTAGATAGAGATAGCAACACATTCCTGGAAGACAAAAACAAGTGAAAGAGTAGAAACTCCCTAAAAACTTTCAAGTGCAGTTAAATCATCTGGGAAGATTTTGATTTGTTAGATCTGGCAAAATGTCTGAGATGTGCATTTCATTTTTCTTTCTTTTTTTAAGATTGTGCATTTCTAAGATGCTCTCAAGTAATGGATACATCTCTGGTTGACAGACAATAGCCAGAGTATTGATTGCAGTGTGGTCTACAGTATGGTCCACAAAGAAATGAAAATTAAACTGTTATAAGTCATCATGTCACTTAACATTGATATAGCATCCAAGAATATCGACCTTTTTCTGGTAATTCTTTTTTTGTGTGTTAGTGAGCTGTTAGAAACTAAAAAGAAAAGCAAAAGTAAACTGACTCATCTCTGATAGGTTTGAGAAATGCTGCTCTAGGGTTAGAGTACTGCAATTGAGGAGAGAGTCAATCAATCCATTCAGGCTGCAGAGCAGCAGGGAACTTCGAAATACCAGGTACAATGGAGAGCAGAAATAAAATGTCAGGACCAATTCAGGGGATGGACCAACCAACACTACTATCAATATCAGCATCACAAATAGGCCCATATAGCAACACACACAAGCACAGAAAATGTCTAAGGACAACTCTTCCAAGGACATTTTATATCTCCAGAGCAAAGACATTTTTATTCTATAAATAGGGCTTCCTGTTACTATCTTAAAAGGGAAGGACAGGAGTCAGCAAGCCTGTTCAGGCACACATATCCTCAAACGGCTCTGTTCATCATCATCATTAAATATGAATGAGACTTTCCGGGTGCTAAATTAAAGAAATCTTGTTAGAAGCAGAAAGAAAGATACATAGGAACAGAAGTATGTTGAATTGTAATAATGATATAATTGCATAGATTACAAGAAAACTTAAAGAGTCTAGACACACATCCTTTGAAACAGTCTCCCAGGTTTCTGGGAATGTTTGTGCTGAGATCAGAGATGTATCACATTTGTTGTTCATACTTGGTTATCCACTGGTGGAAGTGCTTATCTTCAATAAGCTACCACTACCCAGGGTAATATCAGTGTATTTCTCGAAACTTCCAAGTGCCTGTCTAGCTTATTATGAATGACCTATTATATATATTTCAACAGTCTGAATGCTTTTAGTTAATGAATGGATGTTAGACTTTGTCAAATTCTTTTTCTGCATCTATTGAGATGATCATATGGCTTTTGTTCTTGGTTCTGTTAATGTGGTGTATTGCATTTGTTGATTTGCATAGTTTGAATCATTCCTGCATCCTTGGGATGAATCCTACTTGGTCATGATGTATAATCTTCTTGATGATTTGCTGCATTTTGTTGGTCAGTTATCTTCTTGAGGATTTTGCATCTATGTTCATTACAGAAGTTGGCCTGTAGTTCTCTTTCTTAGTTGGGTCCTTCTTTGATTTGGTATCAGGGCAATGCTTCCTTTCAGGAAAGAATTTGGGAGTATTGTTTCCCTTTCAACTTCATTTAAAAGTTTGAGAGGTAGTGGTGTTAGGCCTTCTCTAAATTTTTTGTAGAATTCAGCAGTGAATCCTCCAGGACCTCGGCTTTTCTTTGTTGGCAGGTTTCTAATTATACCTTCAATTTTATTGACAGATATTGAGTTATTTAGAATTTTTACATCTTCATTTAGCTTTGTTTTATATATATATATATATATATATATATATATATATATATATATGTATCAATGAGTCTGGCTAAGGGTTTGCCAATGTCATTTGATCTTTCAAAGAACCAACTCTGATTCATTGTATTATTTCCTTAGTCTCCATTGCATTCATTTTTGCTCTGATGTTTATAATTTTCTCCCTCATACCAGCTTCAAGGTTGGTTTGTTCTCCTTTTTCTAGAAGCTTGATGTTTAACACTCGGTTGTTTATTTGTACCCACTGTTTCTGACGTGGAAATTCATTGTTATAAATTTCTCTCACATGACTGCTTTACATTGAATTCTCTGAGTTCCAATATATTTTATTGGCATTATTGTTTAATTATAGAAGCTGCCTAATTTTTTCTTTAATTTCTTCTGTGACCCATTAGTTGTTCAGGAAGGTGTTATTCAATTTCCATGTATTTATGAAGCTTTTTGGTCTCTTTTGCCATTGATTTCTAATTTTATTGCACTGTGATCTGATAATATTCATGGGATGATTTCAATTCCTTTGCATTTACTTAAGCATGTTTTATGCACCGGTATGTGGGAATGTTTTTAGATAAAAATAGCAGAAAACAACATAAACTTTTTTAGAAACTAAAGGGAATTTATTGGCTTACGTAAGTGGAAAATAGAGATGGAGTAGGCTTCAGATAAGATGTGATCCATCAACTCAATGCTATTCTCAAGAACTTATATCCCCTCCTCTATTTGTTTTGCTATCATAAAGAAGGTATATTACCTAAAAGACACCATGCAACTTGGCCAAGTTCTTTTCATTAATCTTATCACATATTTTTCTTGACTTTCTTTTATTTGGATAACTGACACCCTGACAACTTACACCCTTGCAGTATGCATGGCGAAGAAGAAATATTTTGCAGAGGGAAACTGCAAATATCATTCTATCTTGCATAAACCCAAGACAGAGATTCTAAATAGTGTTTCTTCCCAACATTAACATGGTTCCAGTGTTTTCTTTCACAACTGCCTCACTGCATCAGATTTCTATGGGTCTAAAAGCAAATAATTTCAAGATCAGAAATTCAGGGCCTCTTACTGACTTTCATGTCATCCTGAGAAAACTGACACCCAGTCAGATACATTGTTGTCTTTAAAGACTTTTCTCTCTATAAACAGTTTGTTATATGAAGAGAGACAGCTCATTCCACATGTTCTCAAGAGAGAAATAATTTTTACATTTTTCTCATGCCTGAGATTCTTAGCCATTTCTTCCTCCTAATTGCTTTCCTCCAGATGCACATGTATCCATTATCCTCCTCTCTTCTTCTTCTTCTTCATCATCATCTTCTTCTTTTCCAATCTTGTCTGTTTAAAATGGAGAAAAAAATTTTCATTTAAGGGTTTTTAAATTAAGCAAACTGACAAAAGATCTAGACCCATTTCTTTTAATTGAGACTGGAGACCAATTGAATAAAGTCAGCAACCAATGGACAGAATATGAAAATTTTTCTACAAATTATAATAAACTAGAACTGCACATACTATGTTATGTATTAGATAACCAACCCTAAGGCAGAGGGAGATGCACACATGTCATCTAGTTTTCACTTAAGTGAAGCATTATTAATTAGGCACAGCTGGCTAAAAGAGATGGGAATAAACTAATATTCCACAACTAGAATTCCCAAAATCATTTGGCCCTTGGGAAAGGGTTTAGTTCATACTCAGTTTTGCCACTGGATTGGTGCAGAAGCCTCTATCTACAGCTGAGCTATTCACTAGTAAGAAAGCAGAATGAAGTCTATGGGCTTTGGAAGCAATTAAAAGGGTCTTATGATTTTTTAAGGGTCAAAAATTTAATTTCTGGGATCTGTTTTTTCAGCAGACATTAAGGTTTTATAGTTGATGGCATAGCCCTTACATTTAGACTTAGAGAGGGGCCACCTATGTAAACTAACATATACTTAGTTTATGTTTGTACTGGAGCAATTATAATGTAAAGTACTATAAATCCATCTCAGAAGTTCCCAAGAAGTTTTACTGTAGAAAGTGCTCTAAACACTACTCACACTTAAAAAAAAAAAAAAATGACTGTAGAGACTGCCTCATTGGAGATATAACTGAATGTAGACATCGTTCCTATTTCCTTCATTTTCAGATTCTCAGTGGTGTGCAATAGAATGAAATTAACTCACATGGATATAGAGTTTCAACCTGATTTACAGAGCAGAGCAGCTCTGCTTTAGCTCTGCTCTGCTTCCTTTTAAGATATTATGGTGATACTTTGGTTCATAAATGCATTTGTCTGTGAACATTGTCGTTTTCAAACAGAAGCATTTAGCAAAATTTTGTTTTTGTTTGTGAACTTTGCATTGGGTGATGAACAAGATCATCACCATCTTTCTCCCATGAACATGAAGGTGGTCATCTTTTTCAGAATCCTGGAATGAATGAAAATCATGAACCAAGGCATAGTACTGCTGTACTCCAAAATTTTTAAACTAATTCAAAATACCATGTTACTTTGTTACTCTATAAAATCTTGTATTTTCTAGGTTAAATCAAGTGGAAGAGACCAAAGTAATGTGCTGCTGGTCCCCCAAAGGCCTATGGTCACCAGTATGGGAGGTGATAAAATCTTTAAGAGTGAGGGCCTTGTTTTAGGTTTTCAGATCACTGGGGACATGGTCTTCAAGGAGATAGTGGGGCCTTGGCTTTTGCTCTTCCTCTCCTTTGCTTTTCAGCCACAGAGAAGAGGCCTTGTTGTGCCATGGTTTCCTTCCATGATATTCTCCCTTGCCACAGGCCCAAAATCAACAGAGCCAGCACAGACTGTAAACGCCAAATTGTGAACCAGAATCAATTTTCCTCTTTATAAATTATCTGAGGTATTGGTTATGGTGGTGAAAAATAATATAGTACATGTATTAACTTCAAAAGAAGCTTCTTGAGTGGAATCATTTCCACGTGCTCAATCATTTTAGAGAACTAATATCAGCAAGAGTTTTGGCCTCTGAAATACTATTATGCCAGATTTGTTTTGCTGAAAGAAACTACAATGATGTGCCTTTAGAACCAAGGTAGAATCTTTTTCTCTTATTTCATTTATTTAGAGTAAATCAGTGAAATAAACACCTTAAACTTGCCTTTATTGCAGTTTTATGGGCTCTTTCCCTATGGTTCAATATAACTAATGCCATTTCATTTCTAATAGGAGGAATTGTTTTTCTCCTACACTCTTCCTAGAAGCAAACATTTCAGACATTTATTTCTTTTGGATTTAATGATGACTAAATTTGAAAATGCAAAATGAAAGTGTTATACTATATGAAGAGGAGGAGCGTTTGGAATTTCTAAGCAACAAAGCAAGAAAGGACATTAAGTAACCCTACAACAAGAACACCACAGTAATATAGATAAACTGTTCCTTATTGCAATCACATACTTATCCTATTGATATAGGAGAATGAAACTCCCAACCTACTATGTCTGCAAGTTCATGTTCTCTACAATTGAAGAATGAATTTTAGGAACAACAGAGGTTTAGAGTACAATATATTTACTGAGAGAAAGAAAGCCTCTGTCTGAGAGAGACAGAAGGGATCCCGAGTAGGTTGCCAAGGATTCTGTCTTTTCCAGGGACTTTTATAGAGTAAAATCATGGGGTAAGACAGGTTTAAGGTGGGGAAAACTGGGAACTCACAAAGCAGACAGGCATAAAGTGGGACACAATAGTAAGCCAATAAGATTAGTAGTTCAGGTAAAATTGATTAAATTGGGGACAAATGGGGAAGCAAGTCACATAGAAAGTGGGCATTCTTAAGAGAGCTGTGACTCTTCCCCAGGGGAATGGCAACTTCTGACTTCCTCAGGGTTATAGGGAACTATTTAGAATATCAGTCCTTAGGATGACTAAGGACTTAGGATGTATTTGCTCTTTGCCTTGAGGCCTGGCCCACTGCAGGAGGTGTCTGTGTCCCCACGGTTGCAATGTGTCTGGACTTCTGCACTGGTTCCTTTGAGGACCTAGTCCTGTCTCACTGCCTATAGTATTTCTAACTAACTCAGCTGCTTGCAACACTATGGCATTTGAGTTTCAACCAGATATGAAGCATTTTGCTAGGATGAAAAGGTGACTAGGCTTCTGCTCTTATGAAGTGTATACTTTAAGTGCAAAGAGAGACAATGTATAAATAGATACAAAATGTAGTGTATAATTACAAAGTATGATAAATATTGTGATGTGCAAGTACAGGAGTGATAAAAATGTATTCCAATGGGATTATTCTAATTCATAGGGGTCATGTAGGTAACATTCACAGAGACATTAAACTCTGTATGATGATCAGGCTTAATTAGAAATATCATGGTTCAATTCTAGGTAATCCAGGTTTGAAACAAGCTGATAGGGAAGTACAATATACACTAGAATATATGGAGAAGTCTTGACTGAACATATAAATTTAAGAATCCTAGATCATTAAAAGATAAGCTGGAAAGGAAAATGAATTTAGGGTGGAGCTGAAGATGAAAGAGGGACCATAATATGTCTCAAGAAATTTCAGCATTTAAAGATTAGGAGAGGAGATAAATTATAAAGAGATAAGAGTCACAGAATGACAGAGACAAATCTACCTGAAAATTAAGGAAGCTTCATATCATCTGGGTCCTTCTTTCCTTTGGCAGGAAACTTAGTGTATTTATATGGTCATGTTTTGGAAAAATTTTCAAAAAATATTAGTTTTTCATTTCTTAAAGGTAAGTATCAAGGCATAGAAATCTTAAACAGAAGGAGCAAAACCCAGATGGTCTGGTTACATGAAATTAAAGCTTGGGTGGATTGGCAAAGGTTGGAGACAGGAGGCTCCAAGAAAAGTGATCAACAGCTATGAATTCTTAAGAAATATACTCACTGGGTTTGGTTGGCCTAAGACCATCAGCGTCCATGGCAAGAGCCCCGACGGAGCAATGAAAAGTGCAGAAAACCAAATCTAGTTTTCTTAAGTCTGCCAAAGAAAGATAGTAGTTTTATTTAGACTGCTAAAATAGATTCTTTTAAATATTTTACATGGCACTTCTCACTATCCTTTGATTATTTACTCTAATATTAGACATACGTATTGAAAAGAACCTTTTTTTTTCCTGGAAAAATTTGTAAGACTAACAAACTGAGGACACCAGAAAAATCTTACACGGCACAAAACAGAAATGAATGATACCATGTAACTGAACTTTTGTCTTTACTGTTTTTGCCTTTTAATAGGTTTGTCAATCTAGAAGGTGTATTTCTGTGCTGAGTTACTCAGAAAGCGAGACTAGTCCCCTACGCCCTGCTTCTCGTTATTAAAGAGACCTCAGTAAGCTGGCCAGGCAGTAGATAGCAGTCCATGTAATAAAAGTTCGAAAAACTAGCACTAGGAGCAAACAGTTCCCACTGGATGCTACACTCAACAACCACCACCTGGACTCCACTGTACCTCTGGATGTTACATACACAATAATTTTTTGGCCTAAGTATGTCTCATAGGTAGCAGGGAGCATACTAGTCCTAAAAAACCATGAGCCCTGTATCTGGAGTCACTTTAAACCACCCGCCTATTCCTTCTCTCGGCCCATCACGCACGCCCAGCGCGGGCCTGGAGCTGCTTTTAAACCCCAGGCCGGGAGGCGCAGCCGCGCGCCCTGATTGGCCAAGGGCGCGCGCGCCCCGCGGTCGCCGGCGTCACGGCTCTCGCCGCAGGGGCCCATCGCCGCCGCCGCAGCCCCGCTCGGCGCAAGTGCGCTGCGCGCGGGGGGAGGGGGCGCGGCGGAGCGTGAGGCTGGCTGCGGGCCGCGGGCCGGCCGCGCGGGATTAAGTTTCTGGGTCACGCGTGAGTGTCTGTGCGCGTTCCACCCGAAGCTGCGCGCCGGCCGTTACTTCCGACGAGAAAAGAGCGAGCGAGGGCGACCGCGGCTCCCAGCCTCCGCCCCTCGCGCCCCGCCCGGGCGGCCGCCGCGAGCCGGGTAAGAGGCCGAGCGCCCCCGCCCCGCCACGCCGCTGTTCTCGCGGGTCCCGCAGGATGGGGTGCAGAGGTGCACCTCGGCGCCTCTCCCCCGCCGCCCCTCGCGCCCGGCACGCGCCGAGGGTGTAAAGTTCTTCGCCCGGAGGGGGCCGCGCCTGCGCGGGAGGGGAGCCGCCGCGGGGCGCGCGGAGCCTGTTGCGCCCCGTCTCGCAGGGCCCGCAGTGCGGGCGGCCCGGAGTTTCCACCTTGAGTCTCGCCGCGGCCCGGGAGACCCGTCCTCTCTTCTGGGGCACCCGTGCCCTGTCGCCCCAGCGCCCCGCGGGCGGGAGTGCTGGCCTCCCCGTTAATCACCTACCCGTCCCGCGCCGAGGGGCGCCTTTGTGTTCCGCGTCCCAGTCCCAGGGTGCCGGATGTTCCCAAGGAAGCGCTGTTTAGGCGACGCTTTATGCCTCGGGGAGCTGCGCTAGCATCTGGGGCGGTGATGTGTGAATCCTTTGCAGCGGCACAAAGGCCGTGCTTTTCTTCCCAGGGATCACATGGAAATTGAAGCTGGGGCTGCGGGGTGGAGGAAGGGCCGGCCAGAGTGGGAGTGGGGGCCGCTGCGCGGGGGCCCCGGAGTGCACTGGTGGCTTTGGGATATCACCATCTAGGTCCACCAGCTGGGCAGCTAGGGTTACTATGCCGGGGAGCCGCGCAAAGGGGCCTTCGTGCGGAGGGGGTTGGGTGATGGCTAGTGTTTCCTCAGTATCATCAGATAAGAGCACTGTGACTTCACCAGCTAGGAAGGAAAACCACCTATTCTTTTAAAGTCCAGAGGAAGAATCGGAAAAGCGAACAGACCCCGCCTCCTCCTGCCTTGGTGGACAGCCTCGCTGTAAATATCTCGTGTTTCTGTAGACCTTTCAATAAATAACAGCAAATATAAGAACTAAGCAGGTGATGCTTCTGGGGGACGAAGTTTTTTACAGGTTTGAATTGATTGTAGGTGTGTTACAGTGAACGTTTTATATGGACCCAAGCTCCTAGGTTTGTGTAATATACTTTACTAATAGAATTTAGGTAAACAATTGTGTTTAACATCCTAACAAAGATTCAAAGTTATTTGACTTGAACTTCTGATACGATACCGAGCTCTCAATAAATGCACCTGTGCCTTCTGTGTCATTTAGGTTAAGTTAGTTTTGAAGGCATCTTAACTCCTCTCCACATACTTTTCTTATCCTACCTCTTTTGTTAAAAAAAATGGATGAAGTTTATTCTCAACATACTACTACAGTAGGTAGTATCTTTTGAATCCCTTATGTGTGTTCCTTCATTGACTCCTTTCTGAAACCTTTTCATCTTCCCTTTTAGTTTTCTTTGTTCCCTTTAACCACACGCTTTCCTTTCATTACTGAAGGCTGATAATTGTGATTTGGAAAGGGAGAGGTTTTGCATATAGACCATGAGTGTCCAACTTTTTGGTTTGCTTGAACCCCATTGAGGGAAGAGGAATTGTCTTGGGTCACATAGAATGTGTATAATATAGTTATTATATGTAAGTAACATCACTTCCTTTGTTTTTAAATATATTGCAACATTAAACACAAGTCTAGCAGTAAACTTTAAGAAAAGTTAAGTTTCTGTTCAACAGCAACAAATGTCTCCCCAGACACTCAAGCATGTAAGTAGGTTGGCATGCTATTAATGGTAATCACTGAGTTTTATCTTGCAAGTTGCACAAGCACACTTAACGTTCCATACAGATACATTTCTACCGAACTATGTGTGGCAGGATCAGGAGATGGAGTTAGCACTGCATTTTGCCATCTCCTACACAGAATTTGGTGATTACTTCTGCAGTGTATGCTCAAGGATAGTAGGATGAGGTCATGAAAAATTCCACTAAAAATTCTTTTATGTTAAAGCAGAGTCTTCTGGAGTTTCATTACTAATTACCCAGGAACCCTTGAGGCTCACTGGTGGGTCTAGGATAGGTCAGTCTGACATAGACATTGTTCTGTTGACCTTTAAAGATGTGTTTGGATTCAAATGCCTTTTAAATGGAGATGTATCATGAAAAAGTAAAAGCTGTGTACATCTCTGCAAATTGGAGTCTTTGAAATGTAGTTTTGCATTGAGTCAGTGGCCCAGTTGGCACTTCAGCCTTTACCTGATGGAGTGGGGAGTTCTGCTTTACAAATGAAGAAGAGGTAGACCTGTCTAGGTTGAGATTAAGATAAAGGAAAGTAGATGCTGACAAGGAATAGTAAATTGCTTGGAAGGTAACTGTCTGGAGCTTGAGGTCAGTTATTGGCTTAAGATTACACCCCAGATCTGATAAACATAAACTTGACTCTCAGGTTGAGTTGCAGGTTAGCTCCATTTTGTATATGTCCAACATACTCTGAATTTCATCAAATATTTTGAGTTGTCTTATTGGACTGTATATGGCCCCTATATGCTAACAGCACCTCTGCCAGAAAGAAATCTTATATTTTAAGTGAAGAAACAGTTGACTTCCCAGTGAGTTCTGGATTGCTTGATGCTACATATAAATGATATTTTCTCCAATTGTATGTGCTTTTGAAAATCAGTCTAAAGTAGGATTTTATTTGGCATAAATTGTTTCACACATTATCACCCTCACCTTTATGGCGAAAGTATTATTTATCTTGTAACATAGTATTATGTATAGGAGGGCATTTACATACATATATGAGCTTTGGTATGGTAAAATTTATTGCTGTGATTAAATAATTGAGGTTTGGTATGGTAAAATTTATGTGTTGTGATTAAATAATTTTAGTGGGGTTCTATGTATGGCAGAAAATAATATATTTGCATGTAAAGGAAGCTAATGCTTAGTAATCTGTTGCCTTTCTGTGAAATGTTTCCCGAAAAGGTCTGAAGTAGTTACTTAATAGGTAGCAATAAGTGATTTAGTTAGTATATTGCATTTGACTTGGTAGTAGGAACACAAAGTAAGTATAAGATACTTGTCTGGAAGTCTGTTGGGAAAATAGGCACATGGGGAAAAAATGGAAAAGTTTTACATGCAGTAAAATTTACAGAGGTTCTAAGAAAGTAGATCAACATAGCCTTGATTGCTGGCCTTATTGATGTGAATAGGTGAGAAACAGAAAGGGCTTCTGTTTTAGGTCAAAGGAGGAAAATGAAAGTACTCCTCCCTTAACCAGGCATGAAATGCAGTTTAAATCAGTGGTTTTACACTGAGAAAGAGATGTAGTCTTGGGGAGGAGGCTGGAAGTGGAGGTGGTGCGTGAGCTGCAGGAAGTAGGATAGGCTTTTTTTTGTTAATTTTGTTGTTGTTGTTGTTGTTGTTTAGACATAGGGTCTTGTTATGTAGTTCAGGCTGGCCTTGAATTCACTGTGTAATCCAATTGGCCTTGAATTCCTGGCCATCCTCCTGCCTTGGCCTCCTGAGTGCTGCGATTAGGGTTTACATCACCCTGCCCAGCTAGAGTAGTTTTCAGTTTGTATTTTCAAAAATGAAGTTAGGATTTCTTAGAATGAGGAAGAGTGAGAATGAGGAAGGGCAAGTGATGGAGAGTAAGGAAGCATAGGCTATTGGTTTCTTTTTCCAGTTTTTTAATTTTTATCTGAGACCTGACCTGAAGCACCACAAATACCCCTTTTCCCAATCAATAGCCTCTTAGGGCAACTGTGGTCTTTTACAGTACATATTTGAAAAATTTTCCAGGTTCCAACATTACCCAGTTCCAAAACCACTTTCAAAGTTTTTAGGTATTTCTTTTTTTTTTTTTTTTTTTTTTTTTTTTTTTGGTACCGGGGATCGAACCCACAACCACACACTTGCAAGGCAGGTGTTTATGTCGCTGAGCTAAATCCCCGGCCCCTTTTTAGGTATTTCTTACAACATCAGCGATTTCCTGGTACTGAAATCGGTTTTTGTTTCTTGGAGTTGCCTAACAAAGTACCATAGAGTAGGGAGGCGAGGCAACAGAAATGTATTTTCTCACTGATAAGGATAATTGAAGTCTAAAACAAGAAACTTTTGGGGTTTGTTCCTAGAGGCTCTCTTCTTGACATGTAGGAGGTGGTATTGTCACATAGTTGCCTGCTTGTTGGCCTTATCTCTGCCTCTAATGGAGATAAAGTCATTGTGGATTAGGGCCCACCGCAGTAACCTCATTTAACCCTAATTTCCTTACAGACCCTATCTTCAGATAGTCACATTTGGAGATACTTGGGGTTAGGATTTGATAAGAATTTGGGAAGAAGAGTGGCACACAAGTCAGGCCATAGCAGTGTGCTTTACTTCACTGTTTGCGGTGGAACCCAGGGCCTCAGGCATACTAGGCAAGCTCTTAACGGAATTCTCTTTTTTTTTGGTACCTGGGCTAGAACTCTTGACCTTGCACGTACTTTCCAGGCAGGCACTTTGCGCTGCTGAGCAAAACCCCTGATCCTTAACAGAATTCTTAAAGATACCTGGTCTGTAGGCTGGTGAAAGCCAAAAAGATGGACTGGTTCAGAATAAGGGAGGGAGGTCAAAGAGGAGGCTGTTTGTGGTAGTCTAGCATTGTAATGTGATGCCTGGGAATAAAGACCAACTACCCCTTTTAAGGAAAGGGGCACTTTATCTTTGGCCTAACACCACTTGTTTTGTCTCATATTCACAGGACAGTTATGCTAGTGGGTCCCTTTCTTTTTATGGACAGAGCATTCGTTTTCTAGGGTTTTATAGCTGTATTCTAGTTGTCTAGTGTATTGTAGTTGTATTCTAACTTAAAATATTTCTTGTATCTTTTAACAAATTATAAAATGTTAAATTTGGTAAAGGTATTATTGGGGAAACATAGTAGTTTTTATATCTGAGTAAAACAAAATGTGTTCTTTAAATTACATTGGTTTAAAAACTCCATGTCCAATCCGTGTTTTGTAGGATTACTTTTGGTATAATCTTCCCTACTCCCCCTCCCATTCCCCTGGAGATTTTTCTCTGTTTTGAAAAAAAAAGATTAAAAATATGTTTTTATGTATAATAAAACAAAAAAGATTCTTGTAGGTGTTGAAATTATATTTGTTAAATTAGAGAATGTTAAGCCATTCTTCCAATTCTGACCAGATAAGTTACTTAAAAAGTAAAACGAGACTGAAATTCTTACATGTTTTGTCTTCCTGTCTGCCTTTGGTGGTTGAATTTGTTTGTTTTAGCCAAATCTAATCTTTATGTTCTGTTTAGCTTTACTTGTATATCCAAAAGCTATACTCATGTTTACTTTCTAATAAACCACTTGACCTCCAGGTCTAAGATGCTGTAAATCAAATGAACAAGAGAAAAATGAGAAGGAACATGTATAAAAAAAAGGAAACCTAGAAATGTCAGCTAAACACAAACACACACACAAACACACACACACACACACACACACACAGTCTAAAGGAAGAACCTCCTTAGGTTTTGTTAACAATTTATGTAACTAGTTTAAGTAACAATGGGATTGTTTACCATTTACTTTGATTTTTTACATTCATTTATTATCTGTGATCAAAAATATAAATGTACCTATTAGTAACTTTTTAATCACAAAACCAGCACACTTTAAAAAATATGGAACACATAGATAAGGATAGAAAAAGACAAAAAAATATTGCTGTAATGCTGTCATCTGTGTATGACTCCCCCCCAAAAAAAAACACCTTTATATTTTGAATATGAGATTCTTAAATTATTTAGATACAGCAAATAGGCATAGCTATTTATCAGTAGATAGCATTGATCATTTTTTCAGTGGGGATAAATAGGACATTATTAGACA